CAGGCTCTGGCTGACCCCACTCTTAATCCCCCCAAGAGGAAAGTCATTACAGATTTGTTGACTTAGCTCAATATGAAGCTTGAAGCTTTCTGGGCCCACGGCTGCCCCTACCCACTCCCCGTTTAGAATGCTTCCTCCTCTCCACAAGGCCTGAGCCAGTTAGCAAGACTCCTTCCTTCCCTCCAGCTCAGCCTCTTGACTTTTCTAGCTGAGCAGGAGGTCACCCTGCTGCTGCTAACAATTAGGGCCAGATAACTCCTCTGGAGGTAAATAAACGTCCCAGCCACACCTAATCTTCACTGTAGCTCTGAAGAACCCCACCCTGTATGCATGAGAAGATATTAATAGGTCAGGAGAGAGACAGAAATTTGTCATTGTCATCGTGGGAAGGGGAGTGTGCATAGAGAGGATGCTCCCTCCCCCCTGCTTCTCTCCCAACTTAATCTAAGTGGAGAGGAGGTTCCAGGAGAGGAACTCTCAGAGACTGGGAGAACCTGCAGGAAGGGGGACAGGGAGAGGCTCCTTCCCTGGATGGGTGCCTGCTGAGGTGCTGAATCTGCAGGCCCATCCCAGATCTGGTATTAGAGCATGGCAGGTAAAAGGGAAAATTCCAGAAAGACGTTGGTCTCTTCCAAATTCACTGGAATTTAAGAGCACACACGAACCAGATATTGGCACTTGCTGCTGCTGCTTTTTTTTTTTAAACCAACTTTTTGAGGCATAATTGACATACTATACATATCTAAAGTGTACAGCTTTATTAGTATTGATATATGTATGCACTCCTGAAGGCATCACCATGATGAAGACAGTGAATAGACCCATCGTCCCCATGTTTCTTTTGTAAAAGTTTTCCTTGTGATTACTCTCTCATCCTACCCCCACCCACCCTTCCCAGGCAACCACTGATCTTCTTTCATTGTTATAGATTGGTTTGCATTTTCTAGAATTTCATATAAATAGAATCATGTAGTATATACTCTTTTTTTGCCTGACTTCTTTCTCTTAGCAGACCTATTTTGCGATTCATTCATATTACTGCTATATTGCTAGTTCATTCCTTTTTATTGCTGAGTAGCTTTCCATGGTATGTCTATTCAACAACGTATTTATGCACTCACCTGCTGATGGACCTTTGGGTTGTTTCTAGCTTGGGGCTACTACAAATAAAGCTTCTATGATCATTCACGTACAAGTGTCTACACGGACATACATGCTCATATATCTTCAGTGGGAATGGTTAGATTAAATGGTAGCTGTGCATTTTAAGAAACTGCCAAACTGTTTTCTGAAGTGGTTGACCATTTTATGATCCCATTAGCGGTGTAGAAGAGTTCAGTTCCTCCACATCCTTGCCGACACTTGGCATGATCAGTCTTTTTAATTGTAGACGTTTTAATAGGTATGTAGTGGTTTCCCATTGTGGTTTTAAAATTATTATGATGAAAAGCACCTTTTCATGTGCTTATTTGCCATCCACATATGTTCTTTGGTGTAATGTCTGTTCCAATATTTTGTCCATATTTTATTGGGTTGTTTGTTTTCTTTTTATTGAATTTGAGAATTCTTTATAGATTCTGGTTACGAGTCCTTTATCAAACATACGCTCTGCAAATATTTTCACCTAGTCTGTAGCTTGTCTTTTCATTCCATTAATAGTGTCTTTTGAAGTGCAGAAGTTTTAAATTTTGATAAAGTCCAATTTATCAAAATGTTCTTTTATGGATTGTACTTTGATGTTGAATCTGTACAACTTTGTCTACCCTAAGATCACAAAGATTTTCTTCTAAAAAGTGTTATGAAATTTATGATTTACATTCGAGTACATAACCCATTGTCAGTTAATTTTTTTATATATGGCATGAGTTATGAATTGAACTCCCTCCTTTTTTGTTTGTTTTGTTTTTGTGCTTATGCATATCCAGTTGTTATAAGAATATTTGTTGAAAAGATTGTCCTTTCTCCCCTAAATTATCTTTACAACTTTGTCAAAAATCAGTTATCCACATAGTATGTAGATCTATTTCTGAACTCGGTATTCTGTTCCATGAGTCTATTTACCTATTTTGAGTCTAATGTTACACTTTTGATTACTGTCACTTTATCATAAATCTTGAAATCAGGTAGAGTTATTCCATCTACATTGTTCTTTTTCAAAATTGTTTTTGTTATTCTAAGTCCTTTATATTGTCACATGAATTTCAGAATGAGCTTATCAATTTATGCAAAAACCCTGCTAAGATTTTGATGAGAACTGCATGAATCTCTGCATCAATGTGGGGAGAGATCTTCAATTGATCTTAGCCAAAAGGCCGAGAAGCAATAGAGAGTTCTTAATCATAGTGAGTCTTCTGACCCATGAACAAGGCACATCTCCACCTATTTAGATTTTTACTTTCTCTCGGTGATGGTTTGTAGTTCTCAGTGTATACATGGTTCTTATCTTTTGCCAGATTTACCCCTAATTGTTTAGTTTTTTTGGTGGATACTATTGTTAATATACTTTTAAAATTTTATTTCTACCATATAGAAATACAATTGATTTTTGTATATTGACCTTATCATTCAACTTACTTATTAGCTCTAGTTGATTTTTTGCACATCTCAATATTTTCTACCTAGATACTCATATTGCCTGGGAACTGGAACAGTTTTTTTCATTTCTTTCCAACCTCGATTCCTCTTATTATTTACTGCTGTATGAGCTAAAACATCCAGAATGATGTTGAGAAAAAGTGGTGAAAATGGACATCCTTTTCCTATTCCTGAAATTAGAGAAAAAACATTTTGTCTTTACTGTTAAATAAAATGTTAGCTATAGATTTTGGTTTTTGTGGATAGTGCTTTTCATATTGGGGAGTTCTCTTCTATTCCTAGTTTGTTAAGAATTTTTATCTGGATTGATTGGATTTTATAAATATGCTGGATTTTGTTAAATGCATTTTCTTGCACCTATTGATATGATCGTGTGGGGTTTTTTTTGGAGTGTGTTAATGTGGCGAGTTGCATTGACTTTTGAAACATTTTTAATTGTGGTAAAAAAAACCACACACAACATAAAATTTGCCATCTTAACCATTTTCAAGTGTACAGTTCGTTAGTGTTAAGTATATTCACATTGTTTTGCAACAGATCTCCAGAACTGGCCTTGATTTCTGCATGTTAAACTCACCCTGCATTCCTTGGAAAAACTCCACTTGGCCATGATTTATTATCCTTTTTATGTATTGGACTTGATTTGTTAAATTTTAATATGGATTTGATTTGCTAAAATTTTGTTTAGAATTTTGCATCTATGTTTTTGAAAGATATTGGCTTGCAGTTTTCTTTTCTGGTAATGTCATTATCTGGTTTTAGTATCAGGGTAATGCTGGCATCAAATAATAAGTTGGGAAGCATTCCTCTTTCAATGTTCTGGAAAAGTTTGTGTAGAATTGGTATTGTTTCTCCCTTTAATGTTTAGTAGAATTCACTAGTGAGGAAACCAGAGTTTTCTTCTACTAATGGGAAAATTTTTTGACTACAAATTCTATTCCATTAATAGATACAAAGATAGTAAGGTTATTGATTTCTTTTTGACCAAGCTTTGGTAGTTTGTGCCTTTTAAGGAATTGTCCATTTCAGTTGAGTTGTCAAATTTGTAGGTTTAAAATTGTTCATAATATTCTCTTAATAATTTTTAATATTTGTGAAATCTGCGGGTATGTCACCTGTCTCATTCTTAATTTTGCCATTTGTATCTTGTTTCTTTTTTTCCTGATCAACCTGGCTAGATATTGATCAGTTTTAGTGATCTTAAAAATCAGCTCGTGGTTTCATTGATTTTTTTTCTACTGTACTATTTTCTACTTCATGGATTTCTGCACCAAACTTTATTTTATTTCCTATTATTTTATGTTTAATTTGCTCTTTTTTATTGCTATATCTTCAAGTTAACTAATCATTTCTTCTGCCATGTTTAATATACCCTTTATCCTATTCAGAGTGTTTTTCTTCTAAGACATTGCAGTTTTCATTTCTAGGTTTTGAGTCTTTTTGAAATCTTCCATGTCTCTACTTAACTTTTGAACATATAGAATACAGTTATAACAATTATTTTGACATCTGAGACTGTTAATTTTATTCTTATTTTAAAATTTCAGCATATTATGCGGGGACAAATGTTAAGGTTATGTATATTGCCCATGCCCCCCCCTCCAAGAGACTGTTAATTTTAAAGGTGTCTCAGTTCTCAGACTATTTTGATGGATTGATTATTCTCCCTGTGTTTTCTTGTGCCTTGCTTGCCTGGTAATCTTTGATTAGGTGCCAGAAATTGTGACTTTTACCTCGATGGGTGGTGAATCTTCTTTATGCCTATAAATCTTCTGGAGCTTTGTTCTGGGATGTATTAAGTGAGTTTGAAACAGTTTGATCTTCTTGGGTCTTGCTTTTATGACTTGTTTGGCATATCTGAGTAGTCTGGGGCTAATTATTCCCCACTACTGAGCGAGACCTTCTTGAGTACTCCACCCAGTGCTCATGAATTATGATTTATTTCAGCTGGCTGGGGAAGAAGCAATATCCTAAGCCTTGTGTGAGCACCAGACAATGTTCTCTAATCTTTTCAAGTTATTTTTTCCCTCATCAAGTATTTTCTTACATGCATGTGCTAATAAGTACTCTGCTGAATATCAGAGGGGGGCCTCTGCTGGTCTTTGGGGTTTTTTCTCTGCACGGCTATTTCCTTTTATTACTCTGTCTGTGAACTCTAGCCCACGTGGTCTCCCCAGCTCCCAGCTTGATTGCCTCGGTTCAAGGATCCTACTGGGCTACACTCCGATTTCTCTCCCTTGCTCCAAGCCTGGGAACTCTCTGAGGGCAGCAACCTGAGGCAATCCTGGGGTTTACCTGCTTGTTTCTTATCGATCACTACCCTTCGTTGTCTTATGTCCAGTGTCTGGAAATTGCTGTTACTGGTATTCTGTGTTTATGGGTATTTTGGTTTTGTTTTGTTTCAGGAAGGAGAGTAAATCCAGTCCCCATAACTTCATCTTGGTCAAAAGAGCAAACCTCCTGGCATCCAATTCTTACTGCAGATTTCTGATGTCTGGGAGCTTGGCGGAGCAACCGACTTCTGAAGGGAGAGAGACACTCCAGTGAAGAGACCAACACGTTGGCAGAGGCCCCCTGCAACAGAGGGAAGCAGATCATGGCGGGGGAGGGGCCTCTTTCCACAATGGCAAGCAGCTACTTATTTAGGGTGACCTCTACTATCTCTCCTGATTCCCTTTCTTCCCTCAACATAAGAGGCAGTAGAGCCAGAAAAGAAAGGAGCCAAAGTCAAGACCATACCCTTTCCCATTCTTGTAACATGAGGTACAAGTGTGGCCAATATTGAAGCAAGGAGGAGAAGCTACTGACATTAGATACGAGACTGCAGTGGTGAACTTGACTGGATGGGACTTTCAGCAACTGATATTGACAGGAAAACAACGGGGTCTGCCTGGAGGTATCATTAGGAGATGAACCTGAGATAGAACAAATCCTGGTTAACTGCAGGGGCTGGAGGAAATAAATTGAACTATTTACACTTATACCCCAACACATTGAGGCTTCCTAATAAACTGGTTATATCTAATCTGCTAACAACAGCTTGAGACAGGCACTGTGCTGAGTGCTGTACATGCACTATCTCATTTGCTCTTCACGACTTATAAAAAAATGTACTAATTTGTAGTATTTCTCCCATTTTAGAGGAGGGAAACTGAGGTACTATTGATTTGCCTAAACATAGAGTATAGAAATTTCACATGTATCTCTCCAAGTTCACAGAAAACTCCATTCTCTTTAACTCCTTTCCTCTTACTCTTGCTTATGTAAACATTTTTTCTATGTTTCAGAGTGTTTTCCATTTCCCTAAGCTATTTTCTGCCAACCCATCTCCTAAGGAGGCAAGGACAGTTTAGCTGCTGGGGTGGAGGTGGGTGAGGAAGGGGGACATTACGGGAAGATGTTCATTTTACCCTGGTGACATAAATGTTGGGTCAGCGCACAGAACCATGTCCAGGTGATAGACATCAAATCCATCACTTAACCTCCTTGTGCTTTAGCTTCCTTACAGGTAAAATGAGCATGATAATCGTACCTGTTTTCTTGGGTCGAAGTGAGGAACAAAGTGTTAACGTAGAGGAAGCCCTTGATCAGCTTTTGCACGTCCTGCTCTATCTAGGATTAGCCATTGTTAGCATCTGCCCTTTATTACTCGTAAGTTCTCTTCTCCACTGAAAGAAAAAGTCCAAACGAACCCAAACATAGGCTTTTCTTTTCTCCGCCACATCTTTACTGCCCCTTCTGTCATTACTCTATGTCCATAACCACCCCAAGGAATATATCTTTGCTTAGCAAAAAACACTTTCCCCATTCACAAGAGAAAGAAGAGGAAATTTTTTGCTATTCCTGGAGAGAAGCCCCTTTTGACACTGGATTTCCGCCCAGCCTTTTTCTAAGTACACCTCTGGATACGCTGCCGGAGGTGTCGGAGGGAGGACTTAAGCCTGGCTCTGTGGGACGCCTGGGTACCCAGATGAGGAATCCCGAGTCCTCTTCCACCGTGTGCAGTGAGCTGCGTGGCCCGCAGGGTCCCTGCAGTACCTTCTGTGCGCACCAGGCGGCAGGTGCCGCCGCGGAACCGCAGGTGAGGCAGCTGCACGACCGGTTCTGCCAGCGGCTCTGAGCACCAGGCTCACCTGGGAGAGTTCTAAGACCACAAACGCCCAGGCTCCTCCTCTGAGATTCTGGTGCCGTGGGCTTTGTGTGGGGCCCAGGCAGACACATTGTTATAAAGCGCTGCAGGTTATTATGATTCTGCTCTGCGTTTGGAAGCCACTGCCTTAGGGTATTCCAGAGAATGGCCACACTCAAGCATGGCAGGCGCACGGTGAGGGCCTGGAAATCAGAGAGTGAGGGGTTTTACTGGGGTCAGAGTGGAGAGCGACCTTAGGGCTTGCATTAACGATAAGGAGCCGGACGCCACAGAGGACTTCCTCACAACCGAGCCCAAGTTCAGGCCTCCTCCCTCCTCCCGGCCCTGCTGACCGCAGCTCTCTGTGGTTATAACACTATCATTTCCCCTCTAGCCCAGGGATCTGAAAATACTTTTGGGGAAACTACGGGAAGTTTCTCTGAGTCAGTGCCTCTAGCTGCTGTTGGAGCAACTCCAAGCCCCAAATAATTCAGAACTGTGCAAAATGTTGTGTTTTTGCCTGAATCAGGACTCACACTCGGTGGCTGGTCTTCAGAGGCCGTGTCTTAACTGCCGGGCGACGCTGCCTCCTCCCATCCCCGACTGTGACGGCCACGATGCCGCCCCGGCCTCCCAGCTCTGGCGTCCCTGTGCCCTGCATTTTTGTCTTCTCACATTCGTTAGACAAATTAAACCTCTGAGCCTCAGTTTCCCTTCTGTGAGACAGGGATAATGATTACACGACATAATGTACGGAACTTCTGTGTGTCATGGTTGGAAAACATTAGAGTTTACCTTTCCCTGTTCTCCCTCTGCCTTTTAACGCTTTTAAGCTGGATTCTAGCTTCACAGAGGAAAATCTATAGCCTAAACTCCTAACTTCACAGAAGGGCAAATGGGGCCCAGAAAGCTGTGTAATTTACACAGGGAGTCACCGTGAGAGGAGGACTAGCATCTAGGTGTCCCAGCTCTCAGCCCCTGTTCTTCCTCCCTGTCTCCCCGCACAGTCCTGCGGCCCGTGCACAGAGCCTCCCGCTGTGGTTGCTCTACATGGTCCCGACTGCTGGCTGGTGTCTCCCCTTCCCCTTTCTTTTCGTCAGAATTTGGTGAGCACCTGTTTTATTTTGGGCCCTATATTAGGTTTCTGTTAGAGAACCTTACCCATAATAGGTACCAAATACATATTTGATGGTGGTTTAATTACTCACATTTATTCGCGTATTAGCAATAAGCAGTTAGCAATAAGCACTTGCTTTGCACAAAACTCTTTCCAGGGAGGCCGCGGGGAGGCCAAGAGGAGCAGACAGTGACATGATCCACAAAGCCCTGAAGGAGCCGGCAGAGTTTGGGTGGAGGGAGAGTCACACACATGCCTGTGCGCGCGCGCACACACACACACACACACACACACACACGCACACACATGCGCACACATACACACACGCCCCATGGTGGGTAACCAGCACCCAGGAGAAGGCGCGTGGGTGTCAGTGCTGCAGTGTGCACCATAGTGGCAGGTGACTTTGGTTTGAGGTTGGAAGTCTGAGAAATTAGACCTCGAGGCTGCTTCTTATGTTCTGCCCAGCCCTGTGGCTGCACCTTTTCAGTCTAATCCCTTGATTTCTCCTCTCTTTCTACCTCTCATGTGACAGGGTCCTCAGGCTTCTATTTTGGACCGTCTTTCCTTCTCACTCCAGGTGGTCTCTCTGGAGTATTGTCCGTTTCCCTGCTTTGATGATCATCTATGTCCTCATGGCTTCTAAATCTATATCTCCAGAGGAAAGGGTTTCTGTGAGTTTTAGACCTTCACATCCTACTGCCTCCTGAACATCTCTGATCAGACAGCTCAAATGCCACTCGTCCCCAGTGGAACCCATTTCCCCTCCAACCTGCTCAGTTGCTCAGTCAGATACCTGAAGCTGGTCAGGCATGGTGGCTCACACCTGTAATCCTAGCACTTTGGGAGGCCGAGACAGGAGGATCGCTTGAACCTAGGAGTTCGAGGCTACAGTGAGCTACGATGTCACCACTGCAACAGCCTGGGCAACAGAGCAAGACACTGTCTCAGAAAAAAAAATGTGAAGTCATTCCTGACTCTCCCATATCCCTCACTAGTCCACCATCCCAATAATCACATTCGTTGAATTATAGGATCTTGACCCTTTAAGTTCCCACCACAGATTCCTTTCTCTCCAACTCACATTTTCTGTTACTGTCAAACTTCAGGTATGATCAAGACTCCCCTGGATTATTGTAACAACATTGAACCGCTGGGCTTCCTACTTTATTTGGGTCATGCTCACCACGTTGGACCAAGGGAAGTCTTCTTAAACAAAACAAACAAACCAAACCACTCCATCACTTACAGCCCTTCCCTCTGTTTGCAGAGTAAACGTCATATGCCCGAAGGTGGCCTCTGTAACTTGTTATGAACTGAATGATGTCCCCCAGGGAGGTGTGTTGAAGTCCTAACCCTTGATACCTCGGAGTGTGACCCTACTTGAGAAAGGAGTTGTTGAGATACAATCACACAAAATGAGCTCATACTGGATTAGGGTGGGCTCTCAAGCCAGTATGACTGGAATCCATATGAGAAGAGGGAAGAAACGTGGACACAGACGTAGGCATAGAGTGAGGGTGGCCATGTGACGTGGAGGCAGAGATCGGAGTCATGTTCCCACAAGTCAAGGAACTCCTGGGGCTGTTTCCAGAAGCTGGAAGAGGCGAGGAGAGGATTCTTCCCTCCAGGCTTTGAAGGGAACATGCCCCTGCCAATACCCTGATTTTGGATTTCCAGCCTCCCGAACTTGAGACGATACGTTTCTGTTACCTCAAGCCACCCACTCTGTGGTCGTTTGTTATGGCAGCCCTGGGAAACGATTCGAACACCCAGTGTCTTTGCAGCCTCGTCTGAAGTCTGTGCCTCTGTCTCCTGCTGTCTCAGGCACTCGGGGTTCCTCACAGCTCTGGAAACACCCCACACCTGCCGCCCTTGCTCACGCCCGGCCTTGCGTGGAAGCTCTTCCTCTTCTCCGCCTGCCCGCCTCTTCTCCCCGGTTTGTCCTGCTGCTCCCACAGCTCCTCACCCATAAGCAACGGTTACCTGTCACGACCTCAAGGGCAGGGACTCTGCTTCTCCCTTCTCTGTCCCTGTGCCTTGGTGTGGACACTGACCGAGCGTAAGGCTACAAGAGCCCATATAGGTTTGGTCACATGTCCTCTCGTAGTTTACGATGCTGGTAGGTGGTAGGATTCAAAACACCCCTTCCTTGCTCCTTACTGGGGTGCCAAAGAGGATGCCACCCTGATTTCACCACCCACTAAAAGGGAACCAACCACAGGGCAGGACCTCTTCTCAGAAACCCCCAAACCGCCAACTCCACCTTCCCCGTGCGGTTGTTGAGGTTCTCAAACAGGCTCGAAGGACAGGGACACAGAGAAAGGGATTTCGCATGTTCCTTTGAGGCCAATGCCTAACCACTGTCCCTCTTCAAATGAAAAATGGGGAAAACACTGGCCAACTGTTGTTTAGTGACCCCAACCCCCACCCCTTTAAAATAAACACTCTTTTCAATTAGGAAGATTTGTCACCGGGGACAGTAATTCCGTGTCCTACCAAAACAAACACAGTTGTAATTAGTTTTATCCAGGAAGAAAATTAACTCTGTTTATCTTAGCATAATTAATCATTGACCTCTCTCTGTCCGGGCAGCCTGGGGGAGGGGACGGGAGTGGGGGGCTGTGATCTACAGCAAAGGGGCATTCCGGGATCCATCTATCTCTCCTCTTGGTTACACAGCTGTCTGTGTGAATTATTTGAAATAATATTCCTGGCCAAGAGTTGTGAAGCTGCCTCGGAGTTGGACTTGGAGAGACACTAAATAAGGCTATGGTTTTATGGCTTGGGTCTGTGGAGAGTTTTAGATGAGTACGTATCAGATGGGCATGAAGGCGCGCGGCAGACCCTGAGGCTTGCCCGGCTCCTGCCGTGCCTTTCACCCTGACCTCCACGAGTCCTGGGAATGGGAAAGGGGCTGCGGGCAGAGGGGCTAGTTCTTGGTTGTGGAGGAGAGGCTGTTGCTGTGCCGAGGAGGGACAGGCTTTGGGGTTACAGTGCCAGTCCTGACTTGACATCCTCCAGCTGCACGACCTTTGGCAAGATACCTTGTCTTTCTGAACCATAGTCACCTCCGAAGGGAAAATAAGCAGTGTGTGTGTGTGTGGGGGGGGGGTGGAGTTAGCAATCTATACCCACAGGGCTGGAGTAAGGATTAGAAGTGAGGTGTGTGGGGCTCCCAGCACAGGGCTGGCACTGAGTAGTTATTCAGAGAACACTGGTAGGTTTTATTCTTGCATCAACTGACTGGGGCTCCGGGGATGGAAGGGCATTCTGAATGTCTTCTCTCTTTATTTCAATAGATCCACAACCCACGGGGACCCTACTGTGTGCTGGGCTCCACATTCAGCCCTGGAAGTAGAAAGAGGGCTCAATCATGCCCCCATCCTCATGGAGCTCCCAGCCTGCTGAGGACAGAGAGACAGAGCTGGATATTCTCAGTGTGTTCCAACAAATGCTAAGCCACAGACGCGGGCGTGCGATCTCCCTGGTGGAGACACAAACAGAGACGGAGGGAGTCTGATTGCACATGCTCTAGGCCATTCAGATGATGTGCAACACCTCACTTGATCCTCATGATAACCTAAAAGTAGGCACCAGGGAGGGGTGCCAGGGAAGGGTCTTGAGGCTGTCGGATGGCAAGTCACCGGACCCCGACCGCATGGCTAGGAAATACGCAGCTGGGATGTGAACCAGCTTTGCCTGATATGGAAGCCTGCGCCTTGTCCGTTTCACCTCGGAGGTCCTGGCTGAGTTTTAGTGGCTGGTGTCCTGCCCCCGGACCCCGAGTCAGGGGCATTAAAGCAGCCTGGCCCCCAGCGTCACTGTCTGGAGTCCCCAGAGTTAACATTGCAGCTTCTTGGGCCACACCTCAGCTCTTTCGAATCAAAATCTCGTGCAGGGGGATAATTTTAAACAATTACCTAAAGTGATTCTTTCGTTCTCACCATTTGTCAGAATCATAAAAATCTACCTTCTGCTCGTGATGATGAGACGGCTACTACCAGACAACTAAGTGCTTGGGGTGGGGCTTGGAGGGCGCTTGTCCTCTAGAAAGGGGAAAAGAGAGCTGTGGAATCAAGGAGGCCCCATCCTGAGCTGAGAGGGATGGAGAGGGAAGGCGAGGTGGGTCAGGGCCCCTTGAGAGTGCCTAAGGAGTCACACGTGGAAGAGTGTCTCCCGCTGCCAGAGGCAGAGCGAGGGACCAGACGTCTGCTTTGAGCACAGGGTGCTCACTGCCCGCAGGCCTGGGACAGTGGGTTTCCGAAGCAGGAGCGAGCTGCACAGGTCGTTTCCAGGAGACAGCTTCAGCTGGGAGCAGCACCTGCCCGCTGCAGAGAGGAGCAAGGCAGTCTTTACTGATGCACATGTTGCCGGCACGATGTGGGGCTTTTGTCCTCCCCAAACCTATTCGGAAACCAAGCCAGGAAAGGTCAGAGTTTGGTGCTGCGGAGGACTCCAAGGAAGGGAGCAAGCATAGAGCCTGAGGGCACCGAGGCTGGTTTGTCCAGGTCATGGTGGTGCCTGGCCCTGCAAGGGTGGGCACCCAGGTGGCAGGGAACCCCACACGTCCTGAGAGGTAGCAGAGTCTGACAAGTCAGATAGAATCGTGTCTGATGTCTCACCTCTGCCAGGGGCACGCTGTGCAAACTTGGAAACTCCCTTCCTTCTCAGTGCCTCAGTTGCCT